TAAATGAATTTAACAAAGAGGACATTTTGAACAGTTTTTATAGGGTTCAAATTTATTTATTTTAAATACTTGTTTTAACTTAAATTTGTTTTAGTGAAAATTTAGTATTGTTGTTGCTGTTGTGAAAATTTAGTAATGAATTTTGATTTATTTTTGTAGTTTTATTACTCGATAGAGGAACTATCAACTTTTTGAAAAAGTGATACATGACAATTTTTTGTTCGAAATTACTTGTATAATCACCTCCTGAAGTTTGGCGGTCTTTATAGTAGACACCCTGTACAGAATAATTTTTTGTAGATTTTTATTTACGGGTTATTCTTGTTTGAACAACTTTGTATGTTATAACATATACCTTTAAAATTTCTACAAAAAAAATTTTTACTCAATATCTGATGTAGTGTATAGGTAAATACTTGTCATAGGACGGATGAATCAGGGATTGTTGTGAATAAAAACTAGTCATTAATAGCAAGACAGCGTTCGAGATAACATGTTAATATTTAGAGTAAAAGACGGAATAAAACGATATTTATAAAGGAAGTGTTTTAATTGTGAACGTTACAAGTGGCGACGAGGATAAATACACCGTGTCCCACGTAAGGCGGGCATTAGAACCTTTCGGAGTTCCTGAAAAGTTACAAATCTGAAAATTCAGGAGTAAGGTATATTCAATGTTGTGAGTTTTTCTAAAATATTTTCAACCATATGTGACTTCCGGTTATACCGGAAGTAGATGTCAACTTTGTTATTTCAAATGGAAAGTACCATTTTTGACTTCATTTTTGGATTCTGTGGCCCTTTTTAATTAGACTTTGATAATACAACCATATCTCAAAAATGCATCATTTTTAAGTTATTTAGTTTTTTTCGAAATTTTTTGGAAAAAACGGTCGAACGTATTTTCTAGGATATCTCCGTTAATAATGCACCTAGAATTTTGAAATTTGTTATTGATAATGTACAGACACAGTACTAAATGAAACTAAACTGATTTTTCATGGTTCATATACAGGGCGTTTAAAATTATCAGACTAACTTGGCTAATTTCAAGTGGCCATAACTTTGTTATTTCAAATGGATCACCCTGTATTTTTAGGCATTATACAATAGATATTTTTAAGCCCTTTCAATCCATATAAGGATTCCCTATACCTATCTCTTATCAATTTCGAGTAAATTGAAGTTTAATTACATCACTACCAATTTTATTTTAATTTTCTTTTTTTTTCCTTAGTGGGCTATGAAAATTTAATGACAAGTTATTGCTGTGATCAGATAAATCAGTGTTATCGAAAATATTTTATGAATTAAAAAACAAAAAAATTATAAAACTAAAACTATTTTACTTTACTACTGACACTTTTAATACAAATAAAATACACAAATAAAACATATTACAACAATTAATATGTTAATATATGTTATGACATTGTCATTAAATTTTCATAGCCCACTAAGGAAAAAAAAAGAAAATTAAAATAAAATTGGTAGTGATGTAATTAAACTTCAATTTACTCGAAATTGATAAGAGATAGGTATAGGGAATCCTTATATGGATTGAAAGGGCTTAAAAATATCTATTGTATAATGCCTAAAAATACAGGGTGATCCATTTGAAATAACAAAGTTATGGCCACTTGAAATTAGCCAAGTTAGTCTGATAATTTTAAACGCCCTGTATATGAACCATGAAAAATCAGTTTAGTTTCATTTAGTACTGTGTCTGTACATTATCAATAACAAATTTCAAAATTCTAGGTGCATTATTAACGGAGATATCCTAGAAAATACGTTCGACCGTTTTTCCAAAAAATTTCGAAAAAAACTAAATAACTTAAAAATGATGCATTTTTGAGATATGGTTGTATTATCAAAGTCTAATTAAAAAGGGCCACAGAATCCAAAAATGAAGTCAAAAATGGTACTTTCCATTTGAAATAACAAAGTTGACATCTACTTCCGGTATAACCGGAAGTCACATATGGTTGAAAATATTTTAGAAAAACTCACAACATTGAATATACCTTACTCCTGAATTTTCAGATTTGTAACTTTTCAGGAACTCCGAAAGGTTCTAATGCCCGCCTTACGTGGGACACGGTGTATTTAAATATTGAAAAGGTACGTTTATAGATAGATTATCTCTGTACGTTTAGATAGAGTGTACATCCAATTAATAATAATAATAATTAACTACTATTAGATTACGTAGACGAAGACCGTTAGAATGTTTAAAAAAAACATCACAAAACAAAACTCAACTTGTTCAAAGTTAAGAGTAAGTAATACCTTACAGGGCGAATACCAACGCTTATAATGGCAAACCTGACAGCTATTCAACCTTTCGATTGCGAAGGCGAACCAGCTTCAGTTGGAATTAAGTAGGAGAAATGGATTCGATCCTTCGAAATTTTCCTACAAGCCTCGAATGTACAATCTTCGTCAAAACAGAGAGCAACCTTGCTGCACCGTGGTGGGAGCAGCCTTCAGGAAATTTATTACAACCTACCGGGGCGCATTTCGAGTGGTCGGATGCTGATGCCGAAGTAGATGTTTATAAAGTTGCAGTAGATAAACTCAATGAATACTTCTTTCCGAACACCTAATTGACCAAATTGTAGAAAAAGGAAATTCAGTTGAGCTGCGGAAGAAAATACTTGCTACTGGAGATTCGGTTTCACTTAATGGGATTATAGCAGAAACAAATGCTTTAGAAGCAGTAAATCGTCAGCTAGAAGGATTCACCGAATCAAAACCAACAACAGTGGAGATAAACCAAGTACACCAACATTCCCGAATGAACAAGTCTAGAAAAAATTGTTTCCGAACATGTTCGCGTTGTGGTGGGGATCATCACCCTTCAAAGGCTACTGATTGCCCAGCCTTGAATAAAACGTGTCTTAAATATGGATACAAAGGCCATTTCCAGAAATATTTTAGGACGCGTCCAAAAAAGCGGAACTACGATCAAGGAAAGAGTAGCAATTCAAGAGCCAAGAAGAGACCAAGGAACAATAGGTTTGGGCGTGATGAGACAACTAATAATGTCTTCCTGGTAGAAAATTCTCCTGGTCATATTTCGGCGGAGGAAGAGGAGAAAGAATATGTTTTTCACCTCGACGAGGACTGTACCACAAAATGTATCATCGGAGGGGTTCCCGTAAATATGTTAATTGATTCGGGCAGTAAGAGCAACATAATAGACGACAAAACGTGGAAATATTTAAAAGACAATAAAGTCCAAGTTTCGAAACAAGATAAAAAGTCTTCTAAATTGTTATTCGCATACGGGAGTCAAACACCACTTGACTTAATAGGATCCTTTGAAGCCCAGAGGTTACTGTGGCTGGGAGAAATGAAACATCAATATTCTATATAGTCAGGGGTGGTTCAAGGTGCCTCCTTGGGAAATCGACCGCATACTCTTGGGGTGTTAAAAATAGGATTAGAAGTAAACGCAATAACCGAATTTCCAAAGTTCAAAGATGTGATCGTGGATATTCCAATTGACCTATCGGTAGCGCCAGTTTGCCAACCTTTGAGAAGAATACCAATACCACTGGAAAGAAAAGTCGAAGAGAAACTTCAGGAGCTAACAGAATAAGGAATCGTCGAAGATGTTAAAGGTCTACGTCCATGCCAGGGGACGGTTAATTTCATAGATGACATATTAGTTTACGGCAAAGACGAGATAGAACATGATCATCGCAGACTGTGCAAAACACTCCAAGTCCTTAAAGAGAATAACGTTTTTTTAAATGATAGTAAATGCAGATATAAGTTGAGAAAAGTGGAATTTTTGGGCCAGGAGCTTTCAGCGGAAGGGATTCAGCCTTTGGGAACCATGTGAACGTTATAAAAAAATTCAAAGTTTTCTAGGGCTCCTCAACTTTGTCGAGAAATGGATTCCAAACCTGGCCACATTGACTGACCCTATTAGACAAATTCTTAGAATGGAGTTAGGAAAAAAATCTAATATAACTAGTCACTGGGGAAACGAACAGAACGAGGCGTTCAATAAATTAAAAGAATGTCTGAATAACATCACAACATTAGGGTATTATGACCCCAATGACAAAACGCAAGTGATAGCCGACGTTGTGCTTCCAGTGTCAGCTCTAAACGATTGTCTTTGGTGAACACAGAATATTCGATAGTCAAAGAGATGTTTGCTGCGATTCAGGCTTTCCAAGAGAGCTTGATTCAAATATCAATTATGGTGCAATCGGACAACAAAACGGTGGTGGCTTATATTTGTAAAGAAGGAGGCACTCGGTCTCGAGTGAAGACCTTAACTGGAATAAATTCATTATTTCGGTTGCTGTATACATATTTATAGAAAATCCCGAAATACGTCAAATTTTAATTATAAATTGACATCCTTGTACGTGAAAATGTGATCCTTACACTCAATCCCCTTCGAAAGACAGTTACAACCCCGAATTTAATGTGAACAATAATTTTTTATAATAAATTGGAAATTGATTACAATAATTGGATATTGATATCTTAATGCTTTAACGTTGTTACTAAATGAACAATTTTTTATCGCAAATGGAATTATTAGTTAAATGTTTGAAATAAATTTATTTTTCACCTTCCTCGTATTAGATCATTTACAAAGATTATTATCTACAGAGATACGGACAAGTGTTATGTTTTTGTCAACGAGTTGCTTGAATAAAAACGTGTAATTTACTGAAACAAATTTATTCAATTTATTCAAATGAAGCTAAATAATAACAGAGGTGGAATATTCTCAAAAATAGATAATTAGAGCTGTGCAAATATTTTTTGCAAATTATTTAAACTGAATTTTATTATACGTTTTTCAAATAATTTTGGAATAAAGAATAAAAAACAACAGAAAAAATAGGATTTTTTCGTAATTAAATTTGGGCTACAGTTTTTTAAAGCATTTGTTTGGGAATGACATTAATATTAAATAACAAATCTAGCAGGTAGATAATAAAACAAATATAGTAGTTTTCAGTAATATTCTAATTCCACTTAGTTATTGTTAGGGTATGTATTAAGAAGTTGAAAATACAATACGCCGTGTTCCACTGTTTAGTTACTAATACTTTAATAAACTAAACAAAAATAATTTGATGTAAATTATTCATATCGGTGAGATGTAGCTTTGGCAAATTGGAATATGCTCCTCCCTGCAGTTGACATTACTCCAGGTGCCTTCTAAATCATCCTTGGTGAATAAAATGCAGCTGCTATCGGGAGTAACGGGAGTCGGTTGTCCCTGCTTCCAGTTGAAATACGTGATGGGTGCAGAAGGAGATTGTTCTTTATGGGTCAACCACACCCAATCATTCCCTTTTTCGTTGAGGTTCACCCCGGCTGTCCAAAAGGTTTTGTAACCTGTAAAGTGTTTGCTAGTAACAGTGAAAATAAATGTACACAACTAGGTAATGAAGCTAAAAATCGGAATTGTTTTACCATAAGCTGGTGCAATTAATGTTTACTATAGCTTCAATACATTAGGCGATATAAAAATACTTACCTGTTGAAGCAACCTCCGATGTAACTTCTTTGTTTTCTTCTTCACTGTCTATTGATAATAAGTCTAATCCACTCTCTTCGCATATGAACAAGCCTTCCATAAACAGTGTCTAAAATGAACAATGTTCTGAATAAGCGCTTTAAATAATTTATATCTAACTCTATAACTAAATGTTAGAGTAATTTAAAATAATGAAAAATTATTTCAATGGTTTACCTTTTGTGGGTGAATGAAGTATGTTTTATTGGCCCCCTTTACCACTTGAAAGTCCTGGGAAACTTCTAAAAATAAATATTTTCACTTTGCCGTTATTATCAAAAATAACTATAAATGTAACTTTCATTTTGTAAATTCGGTTAAATTTAAATTTTTAACTGCAATAAACCTTCTTATTGGATACTTACCATTTGCCTCCGTCCAAGACAAGCAAACGAACAAACAGAAAATTGTCAAGAATGAACGCATTTTGATTTCTTCAAAATTAAAAACCAAATTGAACTCGATCCACACTTACTCTCTAATTTATAGTAAATTTTATCAATTGGATTTGTTATATTTAACTGCGACGGGATCAAATGTTCAATGACTTGAATCAAGTACCTAATTATTAAATTTTTTCTACCTTATCGTCATATACAGGGTGATTCAGAACTCTTCCAAAAAAGAAACGGGATGTAGAATAGCATCATATACAACCAGTAGTGCGATATTTACTAGAGAATTTACTACAATTTTTTTGCGATATGGGTTTAGAATTTTATGCTCTATATTCCCTTAGATTTTTGTGATAATTAAGTAAGTCTATATACATATATTAATAAATAAATAAAATATTATTCTTAATATTTTATAGAGGATGTTCCAACAAGAGCCCCGGATTTAATTTTAATGAAAATTAGAGGCGATGCGCACGGTTCCTTGGCTTTCTTGCACCAATTAAACTTTGAACGCGTGCGTAATTGCGATCGTTAACTTGACATAAATTGACGAACCATTTTTGTAATGTATTTTTACAATATTTCATCATTGTTTATTTGAATACTTCTCCATATTTGTAAATCGCGTGGTCTATACGTGACAAATGTGAAAAAATCACCCTACAACTCGTTTTAACAACATAGCAGCAAATTTACATATATCCGGCGCTCTTATTGGGATACCGTTATGTTGTTTTAAAGGGAATTGACTAAATATTGTGTTTTTAAATTTACTTAATTTTTTTTAGTTATAGATATGAACTATTCATGTATTGCGGTAGGAAGTTTCCACCAAGGCGACAGATTAGCACTGCCGAGAACAAGAAACGCTAGCTGTGTCCCAAACGCTAGTCTAGCTTTAGCCTACAGGCATCTTGGGACTCCATTTATTGGTCAAACAATTGATCAAATTTTAATATATGGATTCCAAATGTATGAAAATATGGACAGGTCCGAGTTGTCACCCAAATTTCAAAATTTTATCTGTGCGAAAAAAGTTTATCCGAGTTGTCACCCGTCTATTGTTATCCGTTCGATGCAGATTATAAGGGTCGAATTCCATATTAATGTTGGGTTTTTTGATTTGGGTTATAAATAGTTGGTAAATGTTTTGCATTGGAACTTTCAGAGTTAAAACCATAGACAAAACCTATAGATGTTTTTCTTGAATTGGTGTTTCTGAGAATTATTTTTAGTTTCTTCGAATAAACAGATGGCGCTGGAGCTGCTTTCACAGCCAACAAAAGAGACATGGCAACACAGCGTCGTCGCAAAAAGTCAAAAGTGTCAAAATTTGAATGATTCACCAGCGTTAGCGTTTGAAATTTAAAAGTTTGTTGTCGGAAGCTTTTTTTGTATTTATTGTTATTTTGTTTTGTTTGTTAATTATTTTGAAGTACTTTACGTAATATTTGTAGTGTATTAAAAGTGATTTTAAAGTATTGGTAGTGTATTTTCTGTGTTTCATAAACTTTTATACAAGTTGCACAAATTTTACGATATTAAACTTCTGTATTTGTCACGGTAAGAATTGTTTTATCTCTTTTGTTGTAGTAATTAAGGAAATACCTATTTATTTAACCAGTTAAAAGTGCTTCGATAAATAATAAATATTTGTTATTTATTTCAGATGGTCGGCATTTATTGTGCAATTAGTAGTTGTTGGGGATCCACAGCTAGTAAACACACATTTCCAAATCCCAACAAAAATGTTGATTTGTTTAACAAATGGTTGAAACTCTGTAGAAACACAAGATTACTGGAAATGAAACCCGAAAACGTTTTTACAAACTGTCGAGTTTGCAGATTGCATTTTATGGAGGAAGATTTTGAAAGGAATAATAGGCTTAAACGAAATGCTTACCCTACAAAATTTTTACCGGGTAAGTTTTTTTTTTTAAATACTGTTTTTTTTTGTTTTGATTCTAATGTGCTATTCTAAAATTTTAAACCTTTGTTTTTTGTAATTGTAGCTGGAGATTTATTGAATTCAACATCTCATCAGATGCAACCAGAATCTGAATTAAATATGGAGTATGTTTTTGAAGCAAATGAACCTGGTCCATCAACGACAACCATTCCATCAACGTCATCTTGGGATCATGACTATGCTCAGGATGAGAAAATTGTAAATGACTCTAAAAGGGAAAGATGTGTGACTCCAAAAAATGGTAAAACTGATAAAAAAAGAGTTCATTTTTAGTAATTTTTCTTTTATAGTATATCGAAGAAATAGTAACAAGACGTTATTGTCCATTGGATTCACTCGATAGGCCCAACTAAGTCCCAAAAAAAAGAGTTTATATAAGCAATTGACTCATTTGAAGAAAATTAATTATAATTTGAAGCGAGACTAGCAGTCAACGCAGCGATCGAGCCGTCTCGGAAGTCGAGTTGCAACTCAACCGCAGAGATGGCGATACTTCTGCGCGCCGTACTATCCCGTAGACAAAATAACTATATGGAGCGACGACGCGTACCGTGATTCAAGGAGATTTGCCTCTAGGGTTTACATATTCTTTAATATTGTAATAATAAGCATTTTTCCTAAATAAAGTACTATTAAAAGCTACAATTGGCGCCCAACTAAAGGATCATCGAAAATTAAGCATTCGCTGATTACATCGGCTTTGCACAATTAAAAATTCGGTTTAAATCAAGGTGTCTCTTATAAGAATAACGACAGAACAAAACGTCATTTTTGGCTTTGCTCAGTCAAAACTCTTAAAATTGCACCGCAACTAATAGAATTCGAAAATTGGGAGACCACCCAGACGAAGTGTACGACTGCAGAAGAAGATGTCCATAAATATGAGCGAGGAGCAATTCCAGCGCCTCCTAGAAACAATCGCGGTCCGACCACAGCAAGGAGCAGCTACATCGCCCGTCCCCCCGGCAACAAGCAACTTCAGCCACTGCACCGCTCGTTTCAATGGGAAGAGATGCCACCACACCGTGGAAACATTTATCAAAACAATCGATATATACAAGGAAATGGAAAACATCTCCGAAGCTAACGCCTTGAAAGGACTGCCCCTGCTGCTAACCGAGGGCGCAGCACTCTGGTGGAGAGGCGTGGAACACCAAGCCGTAACATGGCAAGACGCCATTCGAATGATACGAGGAGCATTTTCACCGGTGAAACCCGCTTTTCAAGTTTACACGGAGATATTCGAAGAACGCCACGAACCGACCGTTCCTATTGACGAGTTCATCGCCAAAAAAAGAGCCTTGCTGGCCCAACTTCCAGTCAACCGTCACGACGAGGAAGCAGAAATCGACCTTATTTACGGATTATTGTCAATCAATATCCGAAAACGCGCTCCCAGAGAATCCATCGGCAATTTTACCGACCTACTTGAGCAAGTTAGGAAAATCGAGATGATTCAGCAGGAAGAAGCGACGGAGCCAATGAAGAATGGGAACAACGGGCACCACTCTATCAGTAGGAAGCCGAAACCCATCCGATGTGGATTCTGTGGATACCGAGGGCATTCCATAGATGTATGCAGAAAACGCCTAGCAAAAGATACCACAATACCTATCAGAACCGAGGCAACGCACAAACCAGAGACGGTCACCTGTTATGGGTGTGGAAAACCAGGATTTTTCCGAAGTAACTGCCCCGTCTGTTCGCAGAAACCTCAAGCAGACACTCCAAAATTACCCATACAGTTCTACGCAGTGAATACATTGACACACCTTGCCACTCAAGTACCAATAATAGAGGTAAACATAGGCGGAAATCAAGGGGTAGCTCATATAGATACCGCTGCCAAAACAAACGTAGCGAGTACATCTCTGTTCGAACAATTGAGGAAAAACAAAAAATACAGATTCGACGCACAAGTGGTAGACGTCATCCTAGCCGACGGACATCGCCTTACCAAGGAAGTGTTATTTACAACAACCGATATCACCTTGGGAGGTCGAACACTAAAGCTGGATCTAGTTATTCTGTCAGATGCAGAAGACAATCGCACCCTACTCGGAATCGACTTTTTGGAAAAGGCGGCAATTATCCTAAATCTGCCACAGAAAGTATGGTGTTTCGCCGACGATCCCCACGCCAAATCACGAATTTCTACAACTTCGTCCCGGCAGCACACCAACTCTTCTCCGAAATCCGAGCAAGCAGGCCACCCAGTCAAAATCAATAGAGCACACCTCCGCTAACGTAGCCGCGGTAACGTTCAACGACACTAATAGATCGCCTTTCCTGGAGTTTTTCACAACACCTATATCAGAGATTGATGACGCGGAGGAAATGATCCAATTCAACCCGGATCCACACTATAAACTAGAGCACTTGGAAACTCCACCTCGACCAGAATATACCGGAGGAAGCAACCAATCCGAAGCATTGCCTGGAAGTATATTCGAAATATTTAAAGATGCCCTGCCAGCTACCATGACGCCACCTAAACCGAGAGACCCGAGGAAGAGGCGTAGGATAGAATTTAACAGCATCGAGATCTGTTTAAGAACCGACGAGGCATTAAGCTTTACCAACGAACAACGCCAACAACTGAACCACGTCCTCCAGTCACATGCAGACGTGTTCGCCGAAGATGGTCCGCCCACGTCACATGCAGTGCACCGAATACCCACAGGTGACCATGTGCCCGTGGCAAGCGCTCCTTATCGTCTCAGCTTAGCCCGACAGGAGACTCTAAAACAAAAACTAGACGAGATGTTGGAAAAGGGGATCATTGAAGAAAGTGACACCCCATGGCTATCGCCGGTGGTCCTGGTGCCTAAGAAAAATGATGAATTGAGGGTATGCATCGATTACCGCAAGCTCAACGCGGTAACGATCCCCGATAAATATCCGTTGCCGCGAATCGACGATCTCTTACATGCTGCTAAGAGCTGCCCTTACATGACCTGCCTCGACCTACAGGCAGGCTACTGGCAGATACCAGTACATGAAGCCGATAAGGATAAAACAGGATTTATCACACCTTTTGGGATTTATCGCTTCCATCGAATGGCGTTCA